ATGAGGACTCTGTCCAGGGTGAGCTGTGTCCCTGAGGGGACACCAAATTCAGCATCCTCATATAGGGGTTCAGGGGTGGGGAGTCTCTGGAGAAATTTCCATTCTGAGGTCCCGGGATCCCTCAGCACCCTGGCTGTGGGCACTTAGAACACCTTTGGCTGGGAGGACCTGGGGTGGGATCGGCCTTAGAGAGGCGGTCCAGAAAGCGATGGTCAGCCAGGATGAGCCCACCAGCCACGCTGGCTTGGGCTTCTCACACCCCTTCTGCTCACAGGTGCAGCAGGGACCTCTCCACTTTGGGCAGTGTTGGCTCCAGGGTCTGCGGCTGAACACGGCAGTCGGGGGGGGGGGTGCCCAGGTTTAGTGCCCTCCACTTTGAATCTTAAACTTCAGAAGCACAGCTGTGGGTACTTCTGCAGCCCGGGGCGGGGGTGGGAGGAGGAGCTCACTGGGGCTGAGCCTGGGGGCTGGTCAGCAGGTCAGCCTTGGGCACCACAGGCTGCTCTGCACTGAGGCTTCACCTCCCAGGGGGACTGGGGAGCTCCCTGGGCCGGGCTAGGGCAGGGCTGGCCCACCTGGCGCTCGCTCCCAGAGAGCAGCACAGGGTTTGAGAGGGCAGAAGCCCATCGACAGGAGACACTGAGGGAAGGGCACAGCAGTGCACACCTGTGCCCACCCCCACTGCTGGCCAGCTCAAGGGGAGGCCCCCAGCCCCACGCACACCGGAGAAGGACAAACGGGGGTTTTGTCCTTGGCCAGCGGGCGGCCGGCAGCACACAATGACCCTTTCATCAGGCTGAGGAACCCTGGGCCGGGGTTTCATCTGACAAGGGAGGGTGCAGGCCTCCTGTCCCCTTGAGGGGGGGCTGCTGAGCTCTCTCTGATCCTGACGGTCCCAGGGCCCAGAAGAATGGTTGCCTCCCCCCAGCCTTGGCTCCCAGGGGAAAGGCTCAAGAGACCACAAGATGGCCACCTGCGTCCTCTGCACACTGACCCCAAGCTGACTGCAGTGAGGGTCTCTGCATCGAGACTCCCCCTCCACACCCTCAGGGCTGGTCGAGGCAGGTGCAGGTCTTCTAGGGCCCTGCGTTCTCCCAGGGACCATTCCTGCACCCTTTGGGAGGTCCTAAGGCAGGTGAGAGGCTCCTGGACAGGGTGGGTTTGAGGTATAAAGACTGACTTGCTACACCTTCCCACGGTCCCCCAGAGAAGCCTGGGAGGCGTGTGAAAGAGGAAAATGATGAGCGCTAAAAATTACCTCCTTAAATGGTGAACTCCTAGCCTTACCTCAAAACCCCTCCAACAATTGCCCTTATTACCCCAGAAACCTCAGGACTCTCCCCCAGCTGGAACACCACAGGGCAAACTTCCTCTGAGAAGCAGAAGTGGAGCCAGAAAAGGAGCCCAGGAGTCTGTCTGGACGCTGGTGAGCTCAGGGAATGTCCTTTGTCTGGTCTGTCCACTTCAGCAAGATGCTGCCAGGCTGATCCCCTGATGAACACACTTGATAATGCCCCTTCCTGCTGAGCTAGTCAACTCCTACCCATCCTTCAAAACCCCTGTCTGGAGTCACCTCCTCCAAGAAGCCTTTGAAGACACCCTTCTAATATTCACATTCCCTCCTGAGTGAACACAGACTCCAGCCTGACTCAGGGCACCTCGAGCCAGCCTCCTAAGAGCCACGATGGCCCCAGGGACAGACGGAACCAGACATCCAGCCCCAAGCTGAGCACTTCACCTGTACTTCCATTCTGAAGACCCAGCCACCCTGAGATTCCACCTCGCAGAGGAGACCCCTTGGTGACAGGCATCCTGTAGGCCACTCAGCCTTGGGGGAAGGGGGGTTAGTTAGGGCCACTTGTCTTACAAGCTCTTAATCCCCTGGGGACACACCAGAGGGTTGTCTCCCTCCTGCACAGGATCCAGAATATTCTGTTCCCAGAGTGCACTGTGCTTCCCTTAACAATGTCCTCAAGTCTCAGGCACATGCTGGTGACATAGGGAGGCCTGGTCTGTGAATCTGCGCCTAGGTCCCCCCACACTCTGGGTTTTCCAGCCTGAGCACAGCCCCTCCCCTCAGGGTGGCCAGTAAAGGCCTGGGCCAGCAGCTTGTCCTGCCCTCAGAATGGACTCTCTGGAAGTGAGCCTGATTCAGCACCCCCACCCCACCCTGCCCAGGGTCATGTCCACAGTGCTCTGGGTCTGCGGTCAGTACCACCGGCAAAGCCACAGTGGCCGAGCCGGGAAGAGGCCCAGCCTGGAGGGATAGTGGTGTTGCCCCCCTCCAGGTGGTCGGTGAGTAAACGCCTTGTCACCCATGACTCACCCGGCTCCCTGGAGCGGGCGGGCAGCCTGACAAGCTTGTACCGGAAGACCTGGGAGGGGGTCACTGCCAGTGCCACCTCTGACCAACGGGGTCAGGCTGGAAGGGACCTGCCCCAGACAGATGTCCAGCTCAGCCTTGGCTTGAGGCGTTGGCTAGGTCTCCAGGTCCAGCTGACCAGGAGTCCTGACCTTTCCCATTGGGGGCTCTGGCTCAGACAAGAGTGGCCTGAGGCCCAGGTAAAGGGGACATGCTGAGGGGGTCTGGCTGAGCCAGGGCCTTCATGGAGGGCTCAGAGCCCTTCTGGGCCAGCACATCCATCCAACACCATCAGGGGCGAGGTCAAGGCCTGTGCCTGAACCCACGGAGGACGGTGGGCAGGACTGGGATCCAGAGGGCAGCTCCAGGGAAAACAGAAGACCAACTCCAGCATCTGCGCTAAGCAACGGGATGCCGCCTGGAAAGTTCTCTGAGCAGAAAACCCTTCTGCCCACCCTCCCACCAGCCCTGGCATCGCACGATCCCACAAGCTGAGCCCTTACAGGGCTCCTCTTGGACCGGGCCTCCACTAGCCCTGGCACCCACTTTTCACAGTTTCCCAAGAACCTCGGTGCCAGCTGCCCTGACCTAGTGTGGAGAGGGGTCAGAGGCGCCTGAGCAGTGTCTTCTCACCACACACGCCCCACTGCCCACCGTCCCCCCTTTCCACGCTGCCCACCATGCCCACCTGGACTCAGCCCGGATGCCAGGATGCAGGCCCTCCCTCTCCATCCCAGAGCATGTCTACAGTTCACCTCTCCGCTGGGGTAGAGGTCACCACCAGTGCTTTCTACCCCAGGCTATGGGCAGGGGCAGGCCTGGGTAGAGTCAGCCTCCCACTCCCACCCCCACTCCCGCCCAGCCCTGGCTTAGGAGCACTTGGGAAAGCTGCTTCCCGGGAATTTCTGCCAACACAGCTGGCCGTGCACTCTGGAGCCAGCGGGAGGGGCGCAGATGGCAGGCCCAGGCTTGGGGACTCCTTTTTGGAAAAGAAATCTTGGGGTTCACGTTTGATCCTGGCCTCCACCTGCTAGTGAAAGGAGAAAGCAGGGTCCCCTTGCTATCTCCTTCCCTTACTCTGCAGCGCCCCCCGCCCAAGCTCCTACTTCCCCATCCTGAATGCCTCCCACCATCACCAAACCTCAGCCTGCCCCCTCAAATGACTTCTCAAGCAGCGGAACTGTGTGTTCTCTGGCAAAGCTAAGACTGGGGTGTTGGGATTCCTGGGAAGGGTCTGCTCCAGGCCAGGAGCTAGAGTCTAAGGCACCAATTGGTTGACCAGTCTCCTGGGACTCCAGAAGGATTCTCGGACCCGAGGTGGGGTCCTGTTAATGCAGCACCTTCCTCCCCTGTCCTGACGGAGGTTGCTCTGTCCCGGCGGCCCCACCCGGCCCTCTGCCCTGCCCCAGGGCGTCTACTCCCCCACCCGCCCCAGGCGATGCCTCCTCAGCCGGGCTGCCCGCCGGGCCTGGAGCGCTCGCTGCCGCGAGGACCTTGTAATTATGTCCCACAGCCCGGGAAACCGCGAGCCTCGCAGCATCTGGCTGCGGTTGCGAACTTTTGTTTCAAGATGCGCGACTATTTATAGACGGAAAACTGGTAGGATAGTAATTTCCTAGGAGCTCGAGAAGAAATTGGCTGCGTCTCTATTAAAAGGGGGTGGGGGCGCGGCTATTTATTAGGACTGCGGCCGCGCGGGGAGGGGGCGGCGCGCGGAGCGGGAAGCAGGCGGCTGCCCCCTCTGGCCGCTTTAGGCGACCCCGGACGTGGCCCGCGTGTAAAGGAGGGGGAGGGGGAGGGGAAAAGGGAAAAGGGAGGGAGGAGAAGGAAGGGGAGCTGACTCCGTGGTTTAATCAGTAGCATCCAGCTTAAATTCCCCCAAACGGCGGTTCCATAAATCAAACTTCTTTTTAAATCGGAGGCCAGAGCATATGCGTCCCATTAGGAATCGGGCGAAGCCACCGCTGTGCCGACGCGCCCCTCCGCTCCCTGGGCCAGGCCGGGCCCTGCCGGAGCTCCGGCGCACGAGCGCGTCCCTGCTCCCACCCTCTCCGCGCGCTCCCAAGGCTCGAGCACCTGGGCGCACTGCTGCGTACGCACGCTGAGCGCCCCTCGCTGCTCGCTGAGGAGTCCTCCTAGCCCGGGTCAGACCTCCCTGAGCCGTGGGATGACATGAGAAACTGCGGCGACCTCGGTGGGACCACAGGGGCGATTTCTGGCAAGTCCCAGCTTGCACGTGTGTGCCAGTGGGGGCGCGCGGGGAGCGAGCGAGTGGATGTGAGCGCCACGTGAGGGGGTCCCCGCTCCTCCGTGACTCGGCAGGGACGCGTATGGAAGCCCCACGCCGCTGTGCGCTGTATGGACCGCGCGCTCAGGCTGGACCTGATCTCCGCGGTTAGTCAGATAGTCTTGGTCACCTTTGTCCCCAGGCCTGGACAGCTCAGTGCCCCACCGCTTCCCAGGTGCTCGACTTCGGCAGTGAAGGGAGGCGAGGCGACCCAAAGTACCGGGGCTCCCGCGCGCGCTGGGCACCCAGCGCCCCGCCCAGGGGCCTCATTGTCGCGTTTTCTATCCGCCCGGCCTCAGCGCAGGACACCGAGCCCCACCCACCCTTCCGCGCGCCGCCCGCGGCACTCACGGGTAGCTGCCGCTGGACAGGATGAGAAAGATCTGCGGGCAGTAGACGGACAGGAGCGCGCTGCGCGGCGACAGCAGGAACATGGTGGGCCCGCGCGCCTGGCAGGGCTGGAGAGGCCCCGAGAGCAGGGCCTGAGCCAGCTGTGCCAGGGGTCTCCGCGTTCTTGCTTAGGCAGAGCGGCCGCGCGGGAGGCTAGGGGCTGGGATGCGCGGGCTCGGGCGCAAAGGTCGCCCGTACCCCGCCACCAGGGCCGCGCATGGCGCTGGAACCACGGCTGCGCGGGCGCTAGGGCTGGAGTGCAGACTGGGGGCCGGGCTGGGGACAGCGGGCAGTAGAGTCTTCTGTCCGTCGGTCGGTCCAAGCGCGCTCTGTCTCTCTTTCTGGCTCACGTCTCCAAGTCTCCCAAATCGCGCAGCTGCCATTGGATGGGCCACCCCTACATCCGCCTCCTCCGCGGGCGGGTTTTTTAAAGGGGAGGCTGACTGGAGCGCGCCGGGAGCCGCCCCCAGGGCTTGCCCAAACGGCCTCGTCCGGCGCCCCCCCAACCCCACCCCCACCTCAGAGAGCCTCAGAGCGCCAGCGAGTGCACCTGGGGGGGCCCGGCGGGGAAAAGCTGTCGGGGCGCAGACTCCGAGCGCGTCTCCTCGGCTGCGCTCAAGCAACGAGGGCTCCAGGGCTCGCGTGCGCTCGCACGGCCTACGTGTGCCTATGGGAGCGTGGGCGCGTCTGGGAGGGCGCAGGTGTGCACGCGCACATGAGTGAGGGGTGCCTGCACCCCTGGCCTTAGTGGGGCGGACTGCGCTTCTACACACTTATCGCCCTGCACCCAGCTGTGGGTCTCCGCATGATCCTACTATTGTCCCCAAAGAAGCGGCCAGGGGAGAGGCGCAGCGTGGAAATATTCTTCTCCTGTGTTAAAGTCCTCCCACGCCCTGGAGCGCCCTCCTCTCTTTGCTTTCTTTTGAGGGGCTGGCTGAGATGGGCACCGGACCAGCGTAGATCTACCGGGCTGGTGTTCTGAGCAATCCTCTCATCCAATAATTACGTGGCTAATTCAAAGCCCAGGTTCCGGGCCTCTTCTTTGCGTCCAGCCTGGCTGCACAGGGATTGAGTTAGCTGCACGGAGCCAGTGAAGACCCGCAGGGTGCAGGGCGGGGTCTGCTTCAAGACTCATTCCCAGCCCTGTCCTCCCCTTTCACTTCTCCCGTCTGGGGCCCAGGGGGATTTCCGGGGGGCCACAGACACTGGTCAGCTCCTCTCCTCACCCTGACTCAGTCGAGGCAGCTCAGCCCAGAAGGGGCCCTGAGTCAGACGGTGTGACATCTTCTCCCCAACACTGGTTTGCTTTGAAATTGCAGGATATGGTAGGTGCCTGGGCCTGGCCCCACCCTAGGCTCGCAGGGCTGAGTCGTCCAGGCTGGGGCTCCACTTCTGCACGTCACTGGGCTGAGGGGCCTCTGGCGGACATGATGGCTGCGTCTGGTGACGGTTTCCTGGGCGCACTGAGTGGTGGAGCAGAGACCCCGCCCCGGTGGGTTTCCGTAGGTTCTTTTGTTGTTGTTGTTGTTATGTGCCGTCGAGTTGCTTGCGACTCATAGCGACCCTATGTACAACAGCCCTAAACTCTGCTCTGTCCTGTGCCAATCGCACTGTCTCTGACACTCCCATCCCAACTATCCCAGTCACTAAATCAATCCACCTCATAGAGGGCCTTCCTCTCCTGCGCTGTCCCTCCACCCTCCCAAGCATGATGTCCCTCTCCAAGGACCGGTCTCTCCTCACAACATGTCCAAAGTACGTTAGCCGGAATTCCAATTGCTCATATTCTGAGGCCCCGGAATATCCTGTCCAGTCTCCAGGGTCTTCATCGGCTCTGACATTCTGGTCATGAACAATAAGAAAGGCTCTGCCAGCGTGTGTGTGTGTGTGTGTGTGTGTGTGTGTGTGTGTGTGCACGTGCACACGCATGCCCTAGAGTCAATCTTCTTAGCATACATTTGAGGTGGTGCTGGGACTCCCCCACTTTTCAGATGAGGTGCAGGAGCTTGCATGAGGCCACCAGAGACTGGTTGTTTCCAGGCCCTCAAACCTCACTCATTCTTATCCCACTGGCCCCGGCAACGTTACCCCTCTGGTCCTGTCTGGACCCAGCAGCTCCTCTGCCTCCTCTTGTGCTATGTATGAGAGTCGGCTCACAAAGGAGGGTCCCCGTCGCGCCAGTAGAGGGGTCAGGGAGGGCCCTGTGCTGGTGCCCTCACCCTCCCTAGCCAGTTCTTCCCAGGTGGCACTCTGGCCACCCCGGTGGTGGTGGTCTGGGGACTTCAGCCGCTGTTCTGCTCGGAGTGGCCACAGCTGCGGAGCCACTGACTACAGAGGGACCAGAGGCTCCAAGCCTGACCTGCAGGTGATCAGGGAGCCGGGAACCAGCTTCTGAACCCTCGTGTGCGCCACTCCAGCTTCTGCTGAGGGATCCACGGCAGCGCGTCCCCACCTGTGCCCGCCTCTCCCTCTCTTGGGGAGTACAGGTGTGGTTTGAGAGCCCCCCAACCCCACCCTGGACATGTCCCCTAGCGACCCTGTGCTGTTACTAATCCTGGTCTGGCACAGGAGAGGGCATCACGGCAGAGAACAGACTGCCTAGGGTGCTTTTGTGGGGTGCTAATTACTTTTGGGGGTGCGCAGGTATGACAAACAAAAATGGTTACTGTAGAGTATGCTCACCAGCAGCCCCCCCCACGTCCTCAGTGTACGCACGCGCACCGACAACCCCCCCCCCGTAAACAAACACGCAGGGACAGGGCCTCCACACCGACCCACAATAAACCGGGCGGCGGCGACCGCAGACACGCCCGCCTGGGCCTGCAGGGCTGACCGGGCCAGGGGCTGCCGGCCCTACATCTGCAGCCTCTCCTGTGAAATGGGGGAGGGTGGGTGGGTGGCGGGGAGATGGATGCGATGGGTCTCAGGCGCCGGGAGGACGCGTCCGGGCTGATGGCACCTGGCCCTCAGGGCCAGGACGCGGCGGGGCCGCGGGGGCCCACAGTAGATCCCAGCAAGTGCGGAGGGCGCAGGGCTGGTGGTGGGCTGGTGGCGGCTGGACACCCCACGGCCGGCGGTCACATCGCCCCCACCCCACACACACATCGCGAGCGAGGCCGAGACAGACTCTCAGGGAGATCGCGGCTCAACAGGTAAGGACTCGGCTGCGTTCAGGAATGTGGAAATACGACTCGAGCAGCTACTGCCGCGAGCAGCGAGCACGGCCCGCGGGGCGCCCGCCCGTGCGAGGGGGAGCGC